TCAGATCGTAACAGTTTTTTGGTAAAAAGAAAACTAAATTAATTTTTATAAATATCTTTTCCGATCGAAAAATTTTGTTCTTTAAAATGTAAAATTTAATAACGTATAATAGTATATATAATGATTTATTGTAATTAATTAGAAATTCTATTGAAAACTCTATCGAAATTAATTAAAAATATGAGCAACAGAATATTCGCGCATTTACATATAACATATTATGTTAAATATTTCAGTGATAACGGTATTTTTGACTCGACGCTAGTTTGCGTACGGTGCGTGTTCCGTGTTGTTACATTATTTTCTCGAGACGCGAGAACGACAAATATTAGAAGAAAACGCCCCTCCCCTCTCATCAATATTTAACGATTATTAATTCGCGCAAACTGATTTTCACAATTAACGACTCGTAAGGAGTGACTATTTATTGAAACAGATATTTCACGCAATCTATGCTTCCTTACAGTAGGAATTCAGGTACAAACCGTAAATTATCTTATAATATATTATATGTAAGCGAATTATATTTTCGAATCTGCTCGATCTCGGATATTTCACATCGCAGTTCAAGTTTTTTGTCTATCAATTATTTTTGGATCGAAAACGTGGAAACCGAGCGATTCAATGTGAAGTGATATACGTTTATTAATAATTAATTTGCGAGAGATAGAATATATTCAGCGTACACGTATTTCATAATAATAATCAATTGCTACGTAGTTTGGCCGGTTCTTTTTCAATAACGTTATGTTATTGTATATGCGAGCACGCGACTTTGTTTACGTCCGGTGAGAGTCGCGCCGGCAAGTAACGGCGTTCGACGCGTATTATTTCTCGAGACGCCAACGAGACAGATACTAGGAGCAAACGCGATCGCATTCCTTATGAATAGTTATCAACTTTAATTGTATCATATCACGCAATGTGAAGTTAACATCAGATTTTTTCATCCTTAATTATTACGAACGTCGCATATCGAATTAAGGAATAAATCAAATCGAATGAAATAGATATCGCGACGCATTTAATTAATCGTAGTTAACCTGCATTTTAATATTTTCCAATAACGTAGCGTAACTCCGGCGTTTCTAACTTATTTATTTCATTATTTAATACGTCTAATTATTGAATACATCAATAATAATCTATTAAAATATTCCTCCGTTAAAAATTCCACGCTTATTAACGAGCTTATTGTCGAGCGAGTTGTGTTTGCACGCGCTTTTCATATTATTCTTTTGTAACAATGTGACGAAAAATAATTTGCGGGACTGTCGTGTACAAGTATTAGTGCACGTGCGATTACAATTAACCATGTTTTTGTGAATATATAGTGTGAATGACACGAAGAAATCTGAGAGGAGGAGGAGGAGGCCCGGGGGGCATCCGACGACGGCGGAGCAATGTTGAGGTAAATTTATGACTTTAAACTTGAAGTAATCGTTCATAATTATACGTATTTTATGTGCGCAACAATTATTTCTTGAAATATTAATTGCTTTAAGCTATAATTTGGATATATTTTTATTTTGCAGATCAACGTAGTTCGCGATGCAGTTTACAACTCCGCTGCTGCGCATCGTATCGGTGAGTGATAACCACATTTTATATTGATTTGAAGTAATGAATTTATGAAAATATTATATATTTGCATATCGACACATGTTCGTATTGGTTTTAAGATGATAAATAAGGTAGTTGGTTCAGAAATCGTCAAGTTCACGTATTAAAGACGTATTTTAGTGCTTTCTGTCGATCGTACGCGGCTTGCTGATATTTTTATTGGTTCCAAAGAGATATTTACAATGTCGTATTACATTATCGTGTGTTACGAACTCGTAAATATATGAATTCCATTTTGATTAAATCGAATATGTGCAGCAACCGAGCCTATGCGTGATTTCGATCGAATGCTTAATTGAGAAACACTGTTTGACTTCTCGTGATTTTGGAGTTAGCTACTTGCATGAAGTAAATTGAGCTTCGAGTTATAAATCGAATCGTTTTTACGTACATCATCACAAATTATTGTTTCATACAAATTTCATAGTTTTTTTTTACGTGACAAGCACTGATTCACCAAAGTACATAGTTGTTCGAGTAATCGCCATAATATGTCGCTTAGTGAGACTAGGTGGGCCGAAAAAAATTTATTTAATATATTTTATATATTAACAATATATCCAAAATTCGAATAAAAGAATTAGATCCGTAATTATTATTATCTAGACATTCTACGGATCAATAATCGTCATAGACATAGGCGAGTTAATAAATAGATACACAAGTAAATAAAGGATGCCGATCACTGGATCGTTTCTATGTCGATAACTGGTAGTAGAGATCGGCACTACTAGAATAAAAACTAATATTACAATTCTTTTTTGTTGAAACAGCTATTAATATTTATTAAAAATTTGTAATAATGATAGTTCTGAAAAAAAAATATAGAAAATTATAAAAATATATATAAATAATAGATTAAGTATTATATATTCATTTTAAGTTAATTATATTCACTCAATTTAGATAAATTCATACAATTAATCAATGCCTATTCGAGCAAACACTGGGTGACAATGTGCAAATAATTTATTCAAATAAATATATGAAATACGCTAACATTTCGATCCTGATTTGGACCCTTATCAATGCTCCAAAATTATTGACAATGTGCAAAGATAGTAATGTAACAAGATGTTATCATATTTCCTAATTGCGATGATCATTATATCAGGAAGTTCGATGACATCTTGTTACATTACTATCTTTGAATGATTGCAATTATTTGAATAAATTATTTGCACATTGTCTCTAAGTGTTTGCTCGAATAGGCATTGATTGATTTTATAAAAATATATATATTATATATAT